AAAAAAAAAAAAAAAAAAGAATCAGTTGTAATTCTTCCAATTATAAAGGTGGAAGTTTAGCGCAGATAGTACTACTCCATTTGCATTAGCCAAAAAACTGTATCTTTTGATGATCCACAACAGAGGTTTTTTGACTTGACTATCTCTATCATTTTCATAATTTTAAATCTCACAAGCGGAATCCGTGCTTCCAAGAAGCTGCGTATACACCTTAATTCCCTTTTAATTTTTATTATCATGATTCAAATTTTTCTTCATTAAGACAATTCACAGTCTACATCTGTGTGCACTGCCTATCGCAGGAGAGAAAGATTAAGCTTACAAAAAACGGTATTATTTATTTGAGAGAAATCGGCGACAAAGACAATACAACAATGCACATGTGTAATGCCAGCATTTCCGATTAATCATAAATCCCAGTGTCATCAACAAATTTGAAGCCACTGAAGGATCACATTAAATTTTGCATTCGGTTTTGTAAAGCTTTCTTCCTAATACAGATCTTATTCCCACCAATTTTATATCTTCCAAAGACAGCATTTTCTTGCTGGAAACTTACAGCAGAAGCAAACCAACAAAACTACTTCAACATCTTTAAGTGCTCCCCCAGATTTCTTCTTGCGAAATCTCAGTGACGTTTTGACTTGCTCCAAGATGAGATTCATCTTTCTTGGGTCCACTACTGACAAATATACAGTCCCATTGTAGCCTTCGCTCAACAGTAGTCTGCATCTCTCTGAGATGGCAATTCCCCGCAAGCAGAATCACTAAAACAGTAATTGTTCATAGTCTGTCAGTTTTGAAGCCGCCAAGGTGTAGGAGGGAAATTTGCCAATAATCTACAGTACCTCAGTCATTGGCTGTCCATCCGCAAAAACGTCGATTGCCAACTTATAGCGACAGCTGGCATGTGTATGAACCGTCATTTGATGACTGGCAACCGTAGAAACTTCTTGAACGGCATTGTATGCAGTCATTCATTCACACGATGGTTTTTGTTACGTCTTATTTTGAATAACATTCATTTGTTAGACAGGAGCATCAGTTTTTTCTTACCACTACGCTACGACACAGTAGAAATGCGGTGAAGAGGTAACATACCGAATTTGGCTAGCAAAAATACATTTTACCGCTTTATTGTTCAAACGTTGCAGCATTAAATCACCTTTTCATTCGCAAAAGTCGTAGTTGCGATAGTGACATGTAAAAGCATCTGGGGAAGTGCTTACGAATTGTTAGTCAGGAGGAGATTTGGAGCAGATTTGTATAACTCTCCTCGTTGCTGAGATTTTTTGCTTTTTTTTTTTTTTTTGTTGTCCAATTTAGAACGGTTGGGATTTTTAATGAAATTACGAGAGCCGATTAGACTATTATGAAAACAATTCTTGATATATATGTTCGTTTTTCGTGAGTGGTTTTTGCCGATAAACTGGCCGATACTAATAGTAAACTTGTACAGATCTCACTGCTTCTTTCGGAGGTCACTGACTGCTTTTTGCAAATACAGATTTAATTATCTTCTTTTCTTTTGTATTTGAACCGAATCAGGATTGCATTTTTTAGTAAAGTATTACTTTTCCAGCTTATTTCTATTTCTTTATTACTTGGTTCAGTCTAGAAATACCTTTTACACATTGAACATTCACATTAAGTACCTGTTGGAGTGGCAGCAAAAGGTGTAGATTTACTGGTAAACTGTGCTTTAAAAAAATATCAAAAAATTCTTAGTATGCTTATTGCCTGCATCCACTGATGGCCGCTGGAGTTCATAAGTTGTGCTTCTTTTTTATGATTACTAATTAGAGTGCAAGATGTTTTCGAAGTGTTTCAATATCACGTTTTGCAAAGACTATACTCGGCTGTGCGCACGCTTATTGTGGTTTTTCTGCAAAACAAAAAAAAAATTTGAGTCTTTAGCGTGTACAGTTATGGAGTCAAATTGTTTTATCTTATTTATGTTCTGCAGACCCTACAGATATCCATTCTGTTCTCTTCGTCGCATTTTAATGTTTTATTAATTAAATTACTTTTACATTGATCTGAATTTTTGGTTTGACCATGTAAACCGTTTAGTATGAATGAGATTCTTTCGTCGGGCTAAAGTTGATTTCAACTGTTTTGAATCTTCAGATATCTCTGTTTTTGTCCTCTTATGCAGTTTGTTTTAGCAGCTTCTGTATACAAAAAGAAAGTGTTTGTGTTATTTGGTGGTCCTATTTCGGGAAGAACAGAAGAAAGATAATGGTTCAGGAAAGCACAATGATATGGCAAGTGTTTACAATATCTTCATAGGATCTTATTTTTATTTGACAAACCGTTTTGACTCATCTGGATGTCAGAGGAAGTTCTTTTAGTTTTGATAATTCTGACTGGATGAGGAATGGAGATTTCTGCCCTAGTCGCTTACAGTGCCAGCAAGATGCCGCGAGCCTAATAGCGCGTTGTAAACTTCGTGCTAATCCCGAAAATGCTGTAGGGATCCTTTCTATGGCAGAGTTGGTTTTCCCATCTTAGCTAAAAAAGTTAAGGTGGAAATTGTTACCTTACATACAGGATAGAAGTGTACTGCTCTTGTTTTTTCAGCCACATTTTTGAAACGATTCTACTACTCAAACTACACGTGATCAAACCACTAATCTGTGTTTCTTTCCAGCACTGTCGAAGTTTTGTCTACACTAACACAGGAAACAAATAAGATCAATTCGAAAGTCTATCAAATTCAGCCGCAGGTCGGAATTGGTGGTTTCTTAAAAAAATTCTTTATACAAAAGATTAAATTAAAAAATTTTTGCGTTTTATAGTTGTTGTCGCGAGCACTAAAAGATATCTTTAAAATATTATTATTTAAGTAGTGGTTATAGGGGGTATCCAATTTTATTAATGGCATTAAAGTTGCTCATCTTGCGTTAAAACATCGTCAAAATCGTAATCATAAGATGCGCATTGTCTTATTCGTTGGAAGTCCCATTGACCATCTGGACACGCAGGAGGTATTTAAGTTGTCTTTCTTCTAGGATGTCCAATGATCGTAAATAGAGTTACAGCCTTTGGCAGTCATTTTCCAAGTATTTAATTTATTATTTAACTCTTAAATAAATTATTGATTTTTTTTAAATTCTAGCTGTTGAAACTCGCAAAAAAGTTAAAAAAAGAGAAAGTTCTGGCTGATGTAGTATGTTTTGGAGAGGCAGATGCAGAAAACAGTGAAGTAATGCGCCAGTTCATTGAGGCGTTAAATGGAAGGTAATTGCTTGCCTGTGCAAATGCTGAGTAACTCCCGGTTCCTCAAAATCCTCAGAACTTTCAAATTTTTTGCTATTTAGTTTCCCTTTTTCCTGAGAGTTAATAAACGAAGTTTTGTGAATCGTCGTAAGCTCACGATTATTTACACTCCAGAGATGGTTCTGGTTCGAACTTGGTGGTTGTATCTCCTGGTTCCACACTTACTGAAGCATTAGCAACTTCACCGGTATGTCGTGGAGAAGACGGTACTGCTGCACCAGTTGTCCCTCCCGGTGGTGGTGGTTTTGATTTTGGTATGGATTCAGAGAACGATCCGGACTTAGCTTTGGTATGCTGTTTGTAGCTACTTTCCGGTAAACAGCGCAGTACTTACAATTTGCTCTGAATGAAAAAGCATATCTTTGTTTTAGAATGAAGATATTGTTTTAGGCTCTTCGTGTATCACTGGAAGAGCAGCGCCAAAGGCAGCAGCAGGAGGCTATGGCTGCAGGAGGAGGATCGGTATCTGAAATTTCTGGTGAACCAGCACGTAAGTTTTCTTTGTTGTTATATTCTGTTTCGCTACCAGTGGAGAATGGTTTCTAATTTGCTGAAGTCTCTAACAATAGCTTCCTCTGTTGCAGAAAATCTAATGGAAATGGACCCTGGTGCAATGACCGAGGAGCAGCAACTGGAGTGGGCATTGCGCCTTTCACTTCAAGAAGGCGGAGGAGCAGAATCAATAAGTGTTGACACAATTCCGCAGTCCAGTACCACAGAAGCTGCAACCAGTGCTGTGCAGGAAGAAGTAAAAATGGAGACCAATTCTGCGGAGACTGAAGAAAATAAAACAGTTAGTGCATTTTTGGGCTGTTTAAGTGCATTGTATTAGAGATTTGAGAAAACTTCTTAGAAATATGAGTAACATTAAGCTTTGCCATATAATTTACATTATTAATTCCTCTTCTCACAATGACATTGAACGGGTATTACAGAATGAATATTTTTTTGAGAATCAGGTCTGACTGTTGAACACTATGCTATAGAACATTGCGATCTCTTAGTAATTTTCAGACTGAAGATGATCAGTTAGGTCAACTTATGAATGACCCGGAGTTATTACGTCAATTGGTTGCTGATTTGCCGGGAGTTGATCCAGATTCACGAGAAGTGCAAGAAGCTATCAATAGAACAAGCGCCGACAAAGTCATTCATTAATTTGTATTTAAAATCACCAGCCAGTACACCCTGTATCATTAGTAATGCGTTTTTGGAAATTGGAATAGTTATTGAAAAGAAATGCTCACATGTATAAAGGAGTAACTCCAGGCCAAAGTTTTGAGGCCCACTTTTTTTCTAAGTAATAGTCTGATACATTTTGTTGTCAAAAAGTAATTCTGAAGGACGATACTAAAGAAC